AAAAGAAAGACAGAATAACCAATGAAAAGATAAAACACGAAAACGAAAAAGTGAAAAAAACAAACAGAAGGAAAATCAAATAAAAGAGAGGTGAATAAAATTGAGAGGAAAGCAAGAAAAAGTAGAAAAAGAGGAGAGGGGAGAGGAAGACACGAAAAAAAAGAGTACAAGAAAGGAGAAGAGAGAAAAGAAGAAGAAAGAAAAGGAGAAAGAGTGTGAGAGCGCGAAGGCCCCAGGAAGGAGAAAAGAGAAAAGAAGAAGAAAGAAAAGGAGAAAGAGTGTGAGAGCGCCAAGGCCCCAGAAGGAGAGAAGAAAGGAGAAAGAGTGTGAGAGAAAGAAGAGAAGAGAGAAAGAAAAAAGAAAAGTGAGAGAGCGCCAAGGCCCCAGAAGGAGAAGAGAAAAGAAGAAAGAGAAAGGCCCAGAAGGAGAGAAAAGAAAAAAAGAAGAAAGAGTGTGAGAGCGGAAAGGCCCCAGAAGGAGAAGAGAGAAAAGAAGAAAGAAAGAAAAGGAGAAAGAGTGTGAGAGCGCCAAGGCCCCAGAAGGAGAAGAGAGAAAAGAAGAAAGAAAGGAGAAAGAGTGTGAGAGCGCCAAGGCCCCGAAGGAGAAGAGAGAAAAGAAGAAGAAAGAAAAGGAGAAGAGTGTGAGAGCGGCAAGCCCAGAAGGAGAAGAGAGAAAGAAGAAGGAAGAAAAGGAGAAAGAGTGTGAGAGCGCCAAGGCCCCAGAAGGAGAAGAGAGAAAAGAAGAAGAAAGAAAAGGAGAAAGAGTGTGAGGGCGCGAAGGCCCCAGAAGGAGAAGAGAGAAAAAAGAAGAAGAAAGAAAAGGAGAAAGAGTGTGAGAGCGCCAAGGCCCCAGAAGGAGAAGAGAGAAAAGAAGAAAGAAAAGGAGAAAGAGAGTGAGAGCGCGAATCCCCAGAAAAGACCCGCGTTTACCCTCAAAATACTGCCAGCGTCCCAAAATAACCCGCGATGACCCTTCAAATGCCGACGAAAAACGCGGCAAAATTCGCTCCGAACCCCGTCCGCCGCCGCCGCCTCCTCCTCCTCCTCCTCTTCTCGCTCATCTTCTCCTCCTCCCTCTCTCCTCCTCTCTTCTTCCTCCCCTCCCCCCTTTCATTTTCTCTTTGACATCCTTCTTTTTTTCCTTCCTTGCCTCCTTCTTTTTCCTCCTCCTCCTCCTCCTCTTCTCTCCTTTCCCCTTCCCCTTTCCCCTTATCATCCTTCCTTTTTCCTCCTCCTCTTCTTTCCTCTTCCCTTCCCCCCTTCCTCCTTCCTCTTACCATCCTTCCTTTTCCCTCCTCCTCCTCCCCTTCCTTCCTCTTCCTCTCCTCCTCCACTCCTCCCCTTACCTCCACTCCCCTCCTCACCTCCACCCCCCCTTACCTCCACTCCCCCCACCCCCACCCACCCCATCCCGCCGACGGATTTGGGGCCCGCGATGAGTTTGTGTAATAGGTAATAGGATTATCCTGATTGCGGCGGCGGTGGTGATAGGAATGATAAAAATGATAAAAATGGGAAGAGCCAGAGAGAGGGAGTAAGGAGGAAGGTAAAGGCAAGAAATAGGAGGAGGAGGAGGAGGAGGAGGAGGGAAGAAAGGGGGGGGGAAAGGAGAAGAGGGGAAAGGAGAGAAGGGAAAAAAGGGGAAAGGAAAGAGTAGACAGAATAGAAAAAGCAAGAAATGAGGAGAGGAGAGAGAGAGGAAGAAGCGGGGAGAGGAGAGCAAAGGGAGAGGGGAGACCATCCTCCATCTTGTCGGAATGATTTGAATGGCGGTGTTTACACAAGATGATGAAGGTGAATATGTGTTGCATTGTGCCGAGTGTGTGTGTGTGTGTGTGTGTGTGTGTGTGTGTGTGTGTGTGTGTGTGTGTGTGTGTGTGTGTGTGTGTGTGTGTGTGTGTGTGTGTGTAAGCGTGTGCGCAATCGTGTGTGCAAGCATGCAAAAGCACTCGTTTTACGTACACACACACACACACACACCCAATCGACATATATATGCGTGTTTGCCCTCATGAATGCCAGCGGGGGGCGCAAGCGGCGAGGCTTTAAAGACCAACCCCTTTCAACTCTCTGCAACAACGGAAACACATCTCGGCGCGAGTCAACACGGCGTCACGCCAGCCGGGATAGTGACTCTGGCTCTCCGTGTCTGCCTGTCGCGCGCAAGCACTCTCTCGCCTCAATTAAGATGGCAGCGCACCTTGCCGTCGGCCCGTGCGTTTCAATCTGGGCCTTTTCTTATAACGCTACGGAACGCAAACCGTATGACAGAACTTCGTACATTTTCAAAAAAAGAATAGAGAAGGAGTATGTGTAATATCCTACTGCGAGGCAAAAGAAAAGAGGAAAAAAGAGAGAAAAAGAAAAGGAAACACGAAGAAAAAACACCGACTGAGTTTTCTTTCAACACACAGAAAAAAAAACACTGTCAGAATGGCTAAATAGTTTTCCCAGCGCTTGTAAGGGCGCGTGGCACGCCGCCCTAACACGTTCAACTCACCAACCACACTAACAAGCCTTCACACGCCCGCCCATTCGCCTACCTTGCCCCCCCCCCACTCCCTACCCCTTTACCTCGTTCCTCCTCCCTACCGCCTCTCCTCCCTTATCCCCCTCCCCTCCCTCTCCTCTTCCAAAACCCTGACCCTCCAATCTCCTCTTCCCATCCCCTCATTCTAGCCCCTTCCCTTCCCCTCCTCTCCCCTCCTCCCCTCGACATAAGTACTCCCCCTCCCCCCCTATGAGTCCAGGAAAGCGCGGGAAAAAAAGGAAACTCCCGCTGCCTGTATGACACGTGCCGCGTCTCAATCCGCTGAAGCAGCCTTCGTGTTCGCTTTCACCAAAGATTAAAAAAAAAAAAAGATGAGAAAGAAAGCTAAAGAAAGAGAAATAAAGAAACAATAAACATAACGGGGGTAAACACGAGGGCTGAAAGAGCGTGTTGTGCTTGCATGCCAATACCTGAAGGTGAAATGATGCTATTTTTAGAAACTCGGAGGAGAGATATTCCACAGACACAAAATGTCGAAGCAAACACGCACGGATCGGGAGGAGTTACACGCACCGCGCGCTTCATCACTCTATGAAGGCGGGCGCGGGGATAAGGCAGATTAAATATCCAAAGCAACAATAATAAACGAGGAAGAGCCGGGGAGAGGGAGAGAGAAAGAGAGGAAAGCAGATAGCAAGAAACAAAGAGAACTTTAGACGAGAGATACCAATACTCAAACAACAGAAGAACGCAAACACATTCGAGACAACATCTGAACACGATTCCTCGCTTCTCAACGCTTCCAAGAGCAACAAAAACAACAACGACGACAAAAACAACAAACAGCGCGCGTCCCAACAATTGAAATCTTGACAAAGCAACCCTCCGTTTCCGAGAGAGGAAGCTTGGTCTCGAACGCACGAAACGCGACACAGAAACACTCCGAACAAGACGTTAAAACAGCCACCAGTCAGCGAATCGAAAATGACTCACTCTACGCCAGCTCCCCCAAAAGACGATTTGATTTTATCTTGAACTCATTTCACCAATTTCTCTAACCTTATTTTCAGGAATACTCGCCTATTTCTCTCTCTCTCTCTCTCTCTCTCTCTCTCTCTCTCTCTCTCTCTCTCTCTCTCTCTCTCTCTCTCTCTCTCTCTCTCTCTCTCTCTCTCTCTCTCTCTCTCTCTCTCTCTCTCCCTCTCCTTCGATTCCGACTAAATTCGTGAGCATTTTGGGCGCGCAGGTCGAGATAAGAGATCTCGAACCCACATATAGATTTCTATTCCCGTCTCAGACCAGTGAGAAGTCTAATAGACGAAGGTCACTTATGAGGTTGTCTTTTTATTTCCTCTTTTCTTCCTTTTGAAAGTGATTTTCAAATAGGAACTTATCGCGTATCAAAGGAAAGTCAGTCACGAAACTTATCTTATTACAGTATTTCAACGAGACTTTCCATTAGTTTTGATAGAACGGTACAAATAGGTATGTGCGAGAACCTAGTCATGCGCTGACTAAGAAGAACATTAACGCCTGCCTAGCTTCTCTATCTATTAAGCTTTAACCGATGTACACACGATGCGCAAACTTACATAAAGTTCATACATATGTGCATGTATATACATACACATAAGCTTATCATGTATGTAGGTATATATAATTGTGTGTGTGCGTTCGCGTGTGTATACGGGGAGAGGGGGGGGGAGGGAGGGAGGGAGGGGGAGGGAGGGAGGGAGGGAGGGAGGGAGGGGAGGAGGAGGAGGGGAGGGAGGGGGAGGGGAGGGAGAGGATAGAGAAAAAAAAAGAGACGCGCCAAGAGAGAAATACGAGAAAAAGAGAGGCACCAAGAGAAGATAGATAAACAGAGAGAAAGCAAGAGAGGAAAAACCACCCCACTAAATAGGTCATCATTAACAGAGCCCCCCCCTCCCACCCCCCGCTAGCCAGTCACAAAAGCGAAAGACGAAAGAGAGAGCGCGAGCACAAGGGGGCGTGTTTGCTCGGGAGACACCCTGGGCGCCGCTACTTTTCAAACGCTCCAGCTAACAACCCTTAAATATTCACGTCGTGTCCGGGACCCCAATGGCGAATGGCTCGCGTGAATTTGTGTTTCCTGCTCCCATCCCCCCTTTTCCCCCTTTCTCTCTTCTTTTCTTCATCCGTTCCGCTCCCTTTCTCTTTCTGTCTCTCTCTTTTCTTCATCGTTTCTTTCTCTTTCTGTCACGTTTTCTTTCTTTCTTTTTACTGTTTATTCTTCTCTTTAGTTCAACACACGTCCCTGTCGTTCGTAAGAAGACACCCAGCGAGGTTAAGAAGGAGACGGAATTAAAGAAGAGAGCAAAGCAGTAAGCAGTAAATGAAAGTATTTGACTTTCGGAAATAAAATACTAGCGAAATCTAGCGAAACCCCCTTATCGAAATTCATCTATTTGTTCGTTATAAACTGACAAACAGCAATGTGACAATAAGCAATAACGACGGAGTTAAAAATAAATGTATATCTCTTTCGCTTATCCTGTTCCTAATTTTTTCCCATTTTCTGTTTCCTGGAACTTAAAGGACGAACTAAAATATTTCGTCGTGTTTGCCGACCTTCAATTTGAGATTTTTTATTTACGACAGGTATTTCCAAAGAAAAGCCTTGACGACGCTAAAAAAAAATGAAATTACTGAAATCTTACATAACTTACCGGCAAGAAGATTTCCAGGAGCAGTAAACCATAAAGCCGAAAACAAACAATTACTTACCTTACTTGCCTTACAAGTCTACTTCATAATAATGCACAGCGAATTTACGATCTGTTACGAAATATTGATATCTTAAGAAGGCGAAAGAAAATATATGCCCTGTCTCTAAGTACTTGCAAAAGCTTCCAACTTGACCACAACACGTAATATATTTCGGAAGCAGAATAAGCAAATGAGATACTGTAACGCAACGCACGTTTAAAAGAAAAAACTCTACGGAACGTGCGCCCAATTTGACTATCATCCTTCGCCTCCCGAGACATCGCGTAATGAGGTCCTGCCATTTGCGGGAGTAGAATGGGAATGAAAAAGCGAAAGTGGACAAAAGGAAAAAAATATACAAATATATACTGAACACACTCCCAGCCTTCAGCACAAACGGAATAACATAGTACCCCAAGATTACTTCTTCCTCTGCATGACGGCAAGACCTCAAAACGAAAAAACGAAAAAAAAAAAAAAAACTCACCTTCTTTGTGGCTTTGAAGACATTACATCTGAAGACGTTCGACGCAGCGTCTCGGGCGATGTAGGAAAAAATCTTAAGGTCCTGCGAGTCGTGGGAGACGTAGAAAATGCGATATATAGGATGGTTCATCACCTGCAGTTTGTTCTCGTCCAGGGCGGCTTGCTTCTGTTGGGGGAGAGGGGAGGGGGTTAGCGGTCTGGCCTGAAGGGGAGGGGAGGGAGGGAGAGAGGGAAGAGGGAGAGAGGGAGGGAGGGAAGAGGAGAGGGGAGGGAGGGAGAGAGGGAGAGAGGGAGAGAGGAGGGAGAGAGGGAGGGAGGGGAGAGGAGAGGAGAGAGAGAGAGGAGGGAGGAGGGAGGGAGGAGAGAGAGAGAGGGGAGGAGAGAGGGAGGGAGAGGGGAGGAGGGAGGGAGAGGGAGAGAGGGAGAGAGAGAGAGAGAGAGAGAGAGAGAGAGAGAGAGAGAGAGAGAGAGAGAGAGAGAGAGAGGAAGAGAGAGAGAGAGAGAGAGAGGAGAAGAGAAGAGAGAGAGAAAAAAAGCCAAGAGAAAGAAAAAAAAACATGAAAGCTCAGCCTCAGAATAACAAAGAGAGAGAAAACCCAAACAGATAAATAGGGAAATAGAGAAAGATAGAAAATGGTTTAATGACAGCGCGATTCCGAATGTGTTTCATTCTCCAAGCAATTATAACTTTCCTTGCACAGTCACAGACACAGGCAGATGACGTGAGTAAAGTTAGCGAGCTGTGTCCTTTTTATTCGATTTTCACGTTTATCATAGCTGATGCTCTTCCTCCTTCCGTGCTGGGAATAAGGAAGATTAGAATAACAAGGAGGGAGGTGACGAAATAGATGGTAAGAGAAATAACATTAGTGATAATGGGAAAAATTACGTTAACAACAATCCTTTCATTTTTAATGAAAGGAGAGATAGACAGATGGACAGACAGGCAAAAAGACACATTAAACAGGCAGACACAGATAGATAGACAGACACAGATAGAGAAACAGACAGATAGAAACAGACGGATAGAAAGACACAGATAGAGAAACAAACAGAAAGAAACAGACGGATAGACAGACACAGAAAGGAAGAAAACAGAAGCAACATGAAGAGGAAACGCGATGAGAAGAGTACGGGGGAAGGGGGATATGCCTACTTGGGGTGGAGAAGGGGGTAGAAAAGAGGCGAGGAGGGGCGAGTGGGAGCGGAGAAAAGGGCGAGGAAGGGCAAGTGGGCCGGAGAAAAGGGGCGAGGCGTGGGCGAGTGGGAGAAAAGAGTGTGGGCGAGGAAAATGGGATGGGACCGGAGAAAAGGGCGAGAAGGGCGAGTGGGACCGAGGAAGGGGCGAGTGGGACCGGAGAAAAGGGGCGAGGAAGAGGTTGCTCTAACATGACAACTCTGAGATGTAAGTATCCGCTGAGTGACAGGGCAGTCATCTAGGCCATGCAGGGTACAGAGCCATCAAAGGGGGCAGGGGAACAGGGAGGGAAGGGGAGAAGGAGGTGGGAAGGGGGGGAGGAGTGAGGGAAGAGGGGAGGGAGGGGAGATGGATGCATAGCAGGGATATGCTCTTGCTGCATATCTCATGCGATGAAGCGTGTGCGGGGAGAAGAAGGAGAGGGGAGAAGAGGAGCGAGGAAAAAGAAAGGAGAGGGAGGGAAAGACAAGGGGAGGGGAGGAGATGAAGGGAGGGGAGGAGAAGGAGAGAGGTTGAAGGGAGGGAAGGGGAGAGGAGGAGAAGAGAGGAGGAGAGGGGAGGAAAATGAGAGGGGAGGAGGGAAAGATAGGGGAAGAGAGGAGGGGATGAGGAGAAGAAAAGAAGAGAAGAGATGAGATAGAGACGGAGAGGAGACGAAGGGAAGGGAGAGGAGAGGAAGAGAGGAGAGGAGATAGAGACGGAGAAGACACGAAGGGAGGGGAGAGGAGAGGATGAGAGGAGAGGAGATAGAGACGGAGAAGACACGAAGGGAGGGGAGAGGAGAGGAAGAGAGGAGAGGAGATAGAGACGGAGAGGAGAAGACACGTAGGGAGGGAGAGGAGAGGAAGAGAGGAGAGAGATAGAGACGGAGAAGACACGAAGGGAGGGGAGAGGAGAGGAGATAGAGACGGAGAAGACACGAAGGGAGGGGAGAGGAGAGGAAGAGAGGAGATAGAGATAGAGACGGAGAAGACACGAAGGGAGGGGAGAGGAGAGGAAGAGAGGAGAGGAAATAGAGACGGAGAAGACACGAAGGGAGGGGAGAGGAGAGGAGATAGAGACGGAGAAGACACGAAGGGAGGGGAGAGGAGAGGAAGAGAGGGGGAGGAGGGGGCAGGGATGCGAGGAATGAAGGGCGACTATGTTGGATGAGCTGTTTTGAAGTGCATTAAACGGGGTAAAAATCTGCGAGCACGGCCTGCTTGACGTTGAGAAGCGGGTGTTATGTGGGAGGGCGGGGAGGGGAGGGGGGTGATGGGTCAGGGGGGTAGGGGACTGACACTCCTTGTGGTATTACGATTATTCATCATTTTCATATAAACAAATGCAAAAAAAAAAATAATAAAAAAAAAATAAAACATATATAATGATACACACACACATGCTCTCTCTCGTTTACACATACGCCAACCCTCCACACACACACACACACACACACACACACACACACACACACACACACACACACACACACACACACACACACACACACACACACACACACACACACACACACACACACACACACACACACACACGAGAATTACTTCCTCTATAATAAGACCGGCGAAGAGGCGACGTCCATCCCCGCCTGCAGAAAAACCGACCTCGCAGAATCTCATAAGACGGGTTCATTAAGCAATGGCATCTCTGTTGCCAAGCGTGGAGCTGTAATCACATTTAATCAACCACTAAAATGCAAAAGAGACATGCATTGACATTCAACTTGCATATACACATGTACATACGTTCTTTACAAACATCTGTACATGTATACATACATACACAAATGCATATATAGATACAGACACATACACTCGTACTCACACGCCCACTCATAAACATACACACATAATACATACCCACACACAAACTTAAATTCACGCTCACACATTCACAATCATTCACACACACACGCTCTCACACACACACACACACACACACACACACACACACACACACACACACACACACACACACACACACACACACACACACACACACACACAGCATGTATTACTAAAAAATATATATATCCAAAATGCCCTCCATCCAACAGCAACAAACAGCAATCTAATTCCGAAAGGACATTCAAACCAACTCAAAACCTTCTCGCAAATGACAATTCTCCGAGCGCACTTTGTTCCCGACACTCGTAAAATAATCCCACAAGCGATCCAGTTCCTCGCCGAGCACTCGCAAACTCACTCGCAATGCCTTGTCTTTAAGCCGAGCAAACGCCTTTCGCAGACCCGAAATGAAGGGGAATATATGTCATAAAATCATTTAATTTCTCGCTCTCGATACCGATCCGGGTCATCTGCGTTCAGGAACAGCCCAGCGGAGGGAGAGTTTAGAGGCCAAGATGCTGCCTTTCGTCGTCCCATTTGGTACGTCTTGGTACTCGCCCACCTATTCCTCCTAAAAGGTATTCAGTTAATCCCCTTGGCAACTGACAATGACTCAGCCACTGACCTATCCAAGAATCCGCCCCGTCTCCTAATCAAGAGATGCTGAATCCAAAACCAAATCCATGACGTCACTCACGCATCATTTCCAATCGTGACTTTTTACTCGCTATTTTTACTCGCCCATTCACAAATACGACTCAATCGTTCATTCATTCTCCCTCTCCCTCTCTATCGGTCTCGGTCTCTCTCTCTCTCTATTTCTTTCTCATTCTATTTCTTTCTCTCTCTCTCTCTCTCTCTCTCTCTCTCTCTCTCTCTCTCTCTCTCTCTCTCTCTCTCTCTCTCTCTCTCTCTCTCTCTCTCTCTCTCTCTCTCTCTCTCTCTCTCTCACGCATCATTTCCAATCGTGACTTTTACTCGCTGCTTTTACTCGCCCATTCACAAATACCAATCAGTCATTCATTCACAACTTTCCGCCGCTTCTACTACGTTCTGCTACGACACGTGACCCTCCGACTCACCTTCTTCTTCCGCAGCGACACCTTCACGCCTTCCGTCGACACCTCGAAGCTCACTTTCTTCTTCTTGATCCCTTTGGCTTTGAATTCGTA